GTTGTTGCGTCGCATTGGTGTGCGTATCGCCTTGGATGACTTTGGTTCCGGGCAGTGTTCCCTGGCCCATCTGCGCGATCTGGAGTTCGACACCCTCAAGCTCGATCCGAAATTAGTGGCGCGCCTGCCAGGCTCGGCGCGCGATGCGGCCATGGCCCGCAGCATCATTGAGTTGTGTGCGCATTTTGAAGTGCTGGTGGTGGCCGAGGGCGTGGAAACCCAAGAGCAGGCCCACTGGCTCAGGGCACACGGCTGTCCGTTCGTTCAAGGGGCATGGGCGGCATTGCCGTTGATGGCCGAGGAAATGGTCGACTGGTCCCGCACCCGCGTGAGTTGAATTGGTTACACTGACGCCCTTCGAATCCCGCCGCGCACGCCATGACTACGCTGAAATACCTCCAGGCCTACCCTGTCACTCTTCAGGAGCAAGTGCGCCAGATGATCGCCAAGGACCAATTGGGCGCCTATCTGGAACAGCGTTATCCCGAGCGCCATGGGGTGCAGAGCGACAAGGCCTTGTACGCCTACGCGCTGGCCTTGAAGCAAGAACACCTGCGCAACGCGCCGGCCATCGATAAAGTGCTGTTCGATAACCGCTTGGACCTGACGCACCGAGCCCTGGGCCTGCACACGACCATTTCCAGGGTGCAGGGCGGCAACCTCAAAGCCAAGAAAGAGATCCGCATCGCCGCCTTGTTCAAAGAGGCCGCGCCGGAATTTCTGCGCATGATCGTGGTGCATGAGCTGGCGCACTTCAAAGAATCGGACCACAACAAGGCGTTCTACAAACTCTGCCAATACATGATGCCGGAATACCATCAGGTGGAATTCGACCTGCGGGTATACCTCACGTATCGCGACCTGCTGGGCAAACCCTGACCGCACAAGGCCAATGACCATGGATGTGAGCAAAACCAAAAGCAGCTTCTACCGCCGCCTCTATGTGGCCTACCTGATCGACAGCGGCCAGGCCAGCAACGTACCGGCGCTGACGGAGATGACCGGCATGCCTCGGCGCACGGCCCAGGACACCATTGCCGCGCTGGCCGACTGGATATCGTGTGTGAGTTCGAACAAGAAGACGGCGCCCGCAACCATGCCGGGTGTTATCGAATTCGCGACTGGGGCGCGATCGATCGGCGCTGGATCGAAGCCAATCTGACCTCGATCAAGCGCGTGCTGGGTTATCCCTGAGTTCTTGGTTGATTCCCTGGCATCATCGGGGGCAAGCCCCTTCCCACAGTTGGCCGCAGTGCTCTGGATGGCTTTCTCAGGCGCGCCGCATGCCGATATGAGGAATGTCGTCCTCCAGGTATTCCTCTCCCGCTACCACGAAGCCATAACGGCCGTAATAGCCCTGCAAATGCGCTTGGGCTGAGAGAAATATCGGCGTATCAGGCCAGATATCGTCAATCTGCTTGAGAGTCTCTTCCATCATCCGGTGCGCCAACCCGGTGCCCCGTGCCGCTGGGGCAATAATCACTCGGCCGACCACCACGTCACCGCCTTGGGTATCGGGGTCCAGCAGCCGAAGGTAGGCCACCAGCTCGTCATTCTGCCAGCCCATCAGGTGATGGGTGTCGCCGATCAAGTCCTGCCCGTCGACGTCCTGATAGATGCATTTCTGCTCCACTACGAAGACTTCGTTGCGTAACCGCAGGATGGCGTAGAGCTGATCTTTGCCCAGGTCATTGTGGTGTTTGCAGACCCAATCAACTGTCATGGTGTGTTCTCGCATAAATGTCTGTTCTTGATAGTAAGCGCGACGGGCAGCTCTGTCTAAATGGTCTATTGTGGTGAATGAAATCAATTAGCCATCACTGAGTGCCCTGTTGCCCCGTTTCTTTGTGTAATCTGGGCTACTGTTAACACCTCAGGTATGGCCTGAGCTAAGCTCGCCAAGGATTTTGAGCATGCCGCGATTTTCTCGTGCCTTTGCTTTAATTGGAGTGTTGTTGCTGGCTCAGCCGGCGTTTGCACAGCGTCTGCGCCTGGTCGCGGATGCCTGGCCACCCTTTACCGATGCGACTTTGATCAATGGTGGGCTGGCCACTGACATTGTCACCACGGCCCTAGCGCGCGCAGGTTATGCCAGTGACTTTGAACAAGTGCCCTGGGCCCGGGCGTTGATGGGCGTGGGCGATGGGCGCTATGACGTGCTGATCAACGCCTGGTACGACGACGCCCGCACGCAACTGGGCGAATTCTCCAACGAATACCTGCTCAACCGCGTGCGTTTTATCAAGCGCCGCGACGACCCTATCGACTATCAGACCCTGGAACAACTGCACGACTACCCGATTGCCGTGGTGCGCGGTTATGCCTATTCGGCGGCCTTCGACGGGGACACCCAACTGCAGAAAGTGCCGGTGCATAACTTCGCCATGGCCGTACGCATGCTGGCGGCGCAGCGGGTGCGGCTGACGGTGGAGGATGAGTATGTGGCGCGCTATTACCTGTCCCGCGAATCGCCCCGGGTGCGCAACGCCATAGAGTTTCTGCCCAAACCGCTGAGCGAAAACAGCCTGCACATCCTGGTTAGCCTGAAAAATCCTCAGCATGCGCAGATTGTGGCGAGCTTTGACCGGGAGATTGCCAGTATGAAGGTGGATGGCAGTTATGCGCGGTTGATGAAGGCCCATGGTATGTAGTGCCTGTGCGGGCCTTATCGGGGGCAAGCCCTTTCCACAGGTGGACCGTGTTAATCCGATCAGGGGTGGAGGGGGCTTGCCCCCCGATAGCGACCTAAGCCGCTTCGGTGTCCTTGATCAAATGCGCCGCCAGTGTGCGCAACGGCCCCAGCTGTCGGCAGATCAGCGCCAGCTGCGTTTGCACCAAGCGCTGCCCCTCGTCGATCTCATCCGGCATCTGCTCCAGCTCGGCGGCCAGGGCTTCTTCGGCATCGCTCTGGATCGCAATCGGTTGTTTGTTGGCCAGCCCCGTGGCGATTTCGTCAATGCTGGCTGCCAGGCTATGGCCGGCGCCGTTGATCAGGTGTTCGCGCACGTCGGCCGGCAGTGCGGTGTCGCGGTGTGCGCCCAACCCCGACAAATAGCTGAGCAAAGTGTGTGATAGCACCAGGAAGCGAAAGCCCACGTCGGCTTCTTTGCGAAAGTGCCCCGGCTCCATCAGCATGTTGGCCAAGGTGGTGGACAGCGCCGCATCGGCGTTGTGCGCATTGCGCCTGGCCAGGCGATAGGCCAGGTCGTCGCTCTTGCCGGCGGCGTACTGCTGCATGATTTGCCGCAGGTAGATACTGTTGCAGGTCAGGGTGTTGGCCAGCACTTTGTTCAGGCGCCGGCCCTGCCAGTCCGGCAGAAACAGGAACACCGCCAGCCCCGCGATCAGGCTGCCGATCAACGTATCGAACAGCCGAGGCAGGAACAGCCCGTAGCCATCGCCCACTTGGTTGAAGCAGAACAGCACCATCAGCGTGATCGCCGCCGTGGCCAGGGTGTAGCGGGTGGTGCGATTGATAAAGAACACCAGGCCGGCAGCGATGGCGAACATCGATTGCACCAGCGGGCTGGGGAACAGATCGAACAGCGCCCAGGCCACGGTCAGGCCAATGGCGGTGCCGACGATCCGTTGGCCCAGTTTGCGCCGGGTGGCGCCGTAGTTGGGTTGGCACACGAACAGCGTCGTGAGGATGATCCAATAACCCTGGGATGCGTGAATCGCATGCAAGGTGCCGTAGCCGATGGTCAGCGCCAACGACAGGCGCAACGCATGGCGGAACAGCAATGACGTCGGCGTCAGCTGCGTGCGCAGCCGTGTCCACATTTCCTTGAGGTTACGCGGCGCGCGATCGAGCAGATTGCTGTCGGTGGCGTCGGCCAGGGCGTCGGGGTTGCTGGCGTCGCCGAGCAGGCGGTCGAGGGTCGACAGGTTGGCCGCCAGGGCGCGCAACGAGCGCAGTAGGCCGCGCCAGGCCGGGTTGCTCTGGATGCGCAGGTGTTCCAGAGAAGCGTTCAGGTCACCGAGGGCTTCGGCAAAACTGTCGTCGTAGACAAACGGCTGGCGCAACTGGATCGACTCAGCGAGGGCCTGGCAGGCCTTGCCTTGCTGGCGCAACAGGCGCTGGCAGCGGAACAGCACGTCGCTGTGGAAAAACGCCTCGGCCAGGGCGTTGTAGGGATAGTGCGAAGAACTGGCGCGTTCGTGGATGTCCTGGGCCAGAAAGTACAGCTTCAGGTAGCGGCTGACCTTCGAACCCGGGCGACCGTTACCCACGCGGTGCAGGATGATTTCCTTCGCCGCATTCAGCGCTGCGACTACGCGACCGTTCTGCTGAGCCAGTTCCAGACGACGGGCTTCTACATCCAGTTGGCGGATCGGTTCAAACAGCGACGACTTGAGCTTGAGGTAACGCCCCAACTCGCGAAACAAACGCGCCAGGCTCTGTTGCACCGGCTGGTTGGAAAACAGCACCTGCCACAACACTGACAACGCGCCATACCAGGCAGCGCCGGCCACCAACAGCAGCGGTTCGTGCCAGAAGTCCGACACCGCCCCTCCGCGCTGATCCACACCGATCATGGTGTAGACCGACAGAATCAGCGTCGCCGAGGCAATCGCACCGTAGCGCTCGCCAAGGGCGCCGAGCATGGTCAGGCAGAAACTCGCCAGCGCCAGGGCAATCGCAAACAGCCAGGGGTAGGGGAACAACAGTTCCACCGACAGCGCGGCGATGCTGAAACACACCAGCGTCACCGCCAGGGCATTGAGGCGGCCTTGCCAGCTGTCATCGGTCTCGGCCAGAGCGCTGGCGATAATCCCCAGGAACAGCGGGATCAGCAGGGTCATTTCATCCTGATACCAGCACAGCGCCATGCTGCCGGTGAGGGCGATAAACACCCGAACGCTGTAGCTGAATTTATCCAGCGCCCATAGGCGCCGCATGGACTGCTTGAACGAGGTCGATGACATGAAGGCTGGAGTCTTCCGGGACGATGCCGCTAAATTGAGGCAGTAAGGACGCCACGGCAAGCGTGGTGATCACATCTCACCGCAAATTATTTCACAGGCACACTGCAAATCAGAACGTGGGAGGGGGCTTCGTCAGACGTATTGCGCGGCGGCGTAGCCCGATGCCCAGGCCCATTGGAAGTTAAACCCGCCCAAGTGGCCGGTCACGTCCAGCACTTCGCCAATAAAGTACAGCCCTGGGCTTTTCAGTGATTCCATGGTCTTGGACGAGACTTCCCGCGTGTCCACGCCGCCCAGCGTCACTTCGGCGGTGCGATAGCCCTCGGTGCCGGCGGGCACGAACTGCCAGCTCGACAACTTCTGCGCGATGTCGGCGACTTCGGCATGGGTGTATTGCTTCATCGGCTTGGACGCGAACCAAGTGTCTGCCAGCAGGTTGGCCATCTTTTTGGTGAAGATCTCACCGAGCAGGGTCTTCAACTCGCTGTTCGGTCGCTCGACCTGTTGCTGTTGCAGCCAGGTGTGGGCGTCGTGCTCGGGCAGCAGGTTGATTTCGACCGTGTCGCCCGGCTCCCAGTACGAGGAAATCTGCAGGATCGCCGGCCCGCTCAGGCCGCGATGGGTAAACAGCAGATTCTCGCGAAAACTCTGGCCGTTGCAGCTGGCCACGCAATCCACGGAGGTGCCGGACAACTCGGTGCACAGCGCCTTGAGCTGATCGGTGATGGTAAACGGCACCAATCCTGCGCGGGTTGGCAGCAGTTCATGGCCGAACTGCTTGGCCACCTGATAGCCGAACCCGGTGGCGCCCAGGGTCGGGATCGACAGGCCGCCGGTGGCGATCACCAGGGATTCACAGCGCAGCTCACCGAGGGTGGTTTGCAACTGATAGCCGCTGTCGAGCTTAGCGATTTCCTGGATGGAGGTGTCCAGGTGCAGGCTTACACCGGTCTGGATGCACTCATCGAGCAACATTCCGAGGATGTCGCTGGATTTGTTATCACAGAACAGTTGGCCGAGTTTCTTCTCGTGGTACGGCACGCCGTGCTTGGCCACCAGCCCGATGAAGTCCCATTGGGTGTAACGGGCCAAGGCCGACTTGCAGAAGTGCGCGTTGTGGGACAGGAAGTTAGCCGGCTCGGTGTACATATTGGTGAAGTTGCAGCGGCCACCGCCGGACATCAGGATCTTTTTGCCGGCTTTGTTTGCATGGTCGATCAACATCACCTTGCGCCCACGACCAGCGGCGGTCAGTGCGCACATCAAGCCTGCGGCGCCGGCGCCAATGATCACAACTTCGGTCGAGCGCACAGCAATGTCCTCATAAAAATACGGGTCTGAATGCAATCAAAACTGTGGGAGGGGGCAAAACCCTTCCCACATTGGATCTTCATATAGGTCGCAGATCGGGTTACAGGATGCGCACGCGCAACGAGCGGCCCTTGATCTTGCCGTCGTTCAAGCGCTGCAGTGCTTGCTTAGCGATGCCCCGTTCCACGGCCACGAACGCCTGGAAGTCGAAGATCGCGATCTTGCCAACCTGGGCGCCGGGGATGCCGGCTTCGCCGGTCAATGCACCGAGGATGTCACCTGGGCGCACTTTGTCTTTACGGCCAGCGGCAATGCACAGGGTGCTCATCTGCGGCAACAACGGACCGCCGCTTTGCGGCTTGAGGTTGTCCAGTTGGTCCCAGTTCAGCGGCGACTTTTGCAGCTGCTCGATGGCCTGGGCACGGTGGGCCTCGGACGGCGCCACCAGGCTGATGGCGATGCCGGTCTCACCGGCGCGGCCGGTGCGGCCGACGCGGTGGATGTGGATTTCCGAGTCGCGGGCCAGTTCGACGTTGATCACCATGTCCAGCGAGTCGATGTCCAGGCCACGGGCGGCCACGTCGGTGGCCACCAGCACCGAGGTGCTGCGGTTGGCGAACATCGCCAGTACCTGATCGCGGTCGCGCTGTTCCAGGTCGCCGTGCAGGCCGACGGCGGAGATGCCCTTGGCCGTCAGGTGGTCGACGGTTTCCTGCACTTGCTGCTTGGTAAAGCAGAACGCCACGCACGAGGCCGGACGGAAATGCGCCAGCACCTTGGTCACCGCGTCCATGCGTTCTTCCGGGGAGATCTCATAGAAACGCTGCTCGATCTGCTCGTCGGAATGGAACGCTTCGGCCTTCACCTGCTGTGGCGCGCGCATGAACTTGGAGGCCAACTGCTTGATGCTCACCGGGTAGGTGGCCGAGAACAGCAGGGTCTGACGGCGTGGCGGGGTCTTGCTGATGATGTCTTCGATGGCGTCATAGAAACCCATGTCGAGCATGCGGTCGGCTTCATCGAGGATCAGCGTGTTCAAGCCGTCCAGCACCAGCGAACCCTTGCGCAGGTGTTGCTGGATACGGCCCGGGGTGCCGACGATCACGTGGGCGCCATGTTCCAGCGAAGCGATCTGCGGGCCGAGGGACACACCGCCGCACAGGGTCAGCACCTTGATGTTGTCTTCGGCGCGGGCCAGGCGGCGGATTTCCTTGGCCACCTGGTCGGCCAGCTCGCGGGTCGGGCACATCACCAGGGCCTGGCAACCGAAGTAGCGCGGGTTGATCGGGTTCAGCAGGCCGATGCCGAAGGCGGCGGTCTTGCCGCTGCCGGTCTTGGCCTGGGCAATCAGGTCCAGCCCCTTGAGGATCACCGGCAAGCTTTGTGCCTGGATCTGCGTCATCTCGACGTAACCCAGCGAGTCGAGGTTAGCCAGCATGGCGGCGGACAGCGGCAAGGTATTAAAAGCGGTGGCGATGGTGGTCACGGGGCGGGCTCTGCAAAAACAAAATGTCGCGCAGTGTACCAGTCTCGTGGGATTTTCCCCGCAAGTTCTAGACGAGCCGCCCGTCAGTGCTCGATGTCGTGCTCGCGGCTGCCCAGCCGTTTGCCGTCTTTTGGCGACAGTTGCAGGAAAATCGCCGCCGCCAACATCGCCATGACGCCCACGGTGAGGAAGGTCAACTGGAACGCGCCGAGCACGGTATTGACCCCGTCATTGCCGGCTTCGGCGGTGAACCCGCCCAGCAATGCGCCGGCGCAGGCCACGCCGAGGCTCAGGGACAATTGCGCCACCACCGACAGCAGGCTGTTGCCGCTGCTGGCCTGGGCGTCGTCGAGGTCGATCAAGGTCACGGTGTTCATCGCGGTAAATTGCAGGGAGTTGATTGCCCCCAGCACCGCCAGCATGCCCAGCAGCAGCGGGTAGGGCGTCTGCTCGCTGACCAGGCCCATGCTCGCCAGCATGATGCCCAGCGCCAGGGTGTTGCCGGTCAGCACCACGCGGTAGCCCAGGCGTTCGATCAGCGGCCGCGCCACGGACTTGGCGAACATCGCCGCCGCCGCCAACGGCAGCATGCTCATGCCGGCCTCCGACGGCGAATACCCCAGCGCCACCTGCAACAGCAGCGGCACCAGAAACGGCAACGCGCCGCTGCCCAGGCGGGCGAACAGGTTACCCAGGATGCCCACGGCAAAGGTGCGGGTCTTGAACAGCACCGGCGAAAACAGCGGGTTATCGATATGCCCGGCGCGCAGCCAGTACGCCGCCAGGCACGCCAGCCCGCCGAACAGCAGCAACATCACCCGCAGGTGCGGCAGGTGCAGTTCGCCCAGGCCCTCCATGGCGATGGTGATCAGCACCATCGCCGCGCCGAACAGCACAAAGCCCATTCCGTCAAAGCGCGTGCGTTCACTGCCGCGCAGGTCCGGGATGAACTTCCACACGGCGTAGCACCCGATCATGCCCACCGGCAGGTTGATCAGAAAGATCCAGTGCCAGGTCAGGTATTGCACCATCCAGCCGCCCATGGTCGGGCCAAGCAGCGGGCCGAGCAGGCCAGGGATGGTGATGAAGCCCATGATCCGCACCAGCTCGGAGCGCGGGTAGGCGCGCAATACCACCAGGCGTCCCACCGGCAGCATCAGCGCGCCGCCCAGACCCTGCACGACCCGAGCCCCCACCAGCATGGTCAGGCTGCTGGACAGCGCGCACAGCAGCGAGCCGATGCTGAACAGCATGATTGCGCCAAAGAAGATCTTCTTGGTGCCGAAACGGTCGGCGATCCAGCCCGATGCTGGGATCAGCAAGGCGACCGTAAGCATGTAGGCGATCACCACCCCCTGCATGCGCAACGGGTTTTCCGCCAGGTCCCTGGCCATGGCCGGCAGAGCGGTGTTGAGAATCGTCCCATCGAGCGACTGCATAAAGAAGGCAATCGCCACCACCCAGGGGAGCCAGCGGGCGGTCTTGGCATCGAGAGGGGCGCGATCGGGCATGGGGGACCTTTTTGTTAGCCGGCTATGTGTCGGCGATTATGCGCCATCCATCGCGCCTTTTCCCACTGGCGGTTGGTCTAAGTCCGACAACACCGCGTGCTCGCCCACCAGGAAATCCAACAGCGCGCGATGCACCGCCAGGGCGGCCTCGCGGGATTCCAGATCCAACAGGTGACCGGTGTGTTGCGCCACCGCAAAACTGCTGCGCCCCACGTATTGCTTGAACAATTGAGCGTCGGCGGCGGGGGTGTATTCGTCCAGCGCGCCGTTGAGGAAATGCACCGGCGTTTCGATTTGCCGCAGCGCCGGCAGGTAATTGCCGTCGCCCAATGCCAGCACCTGGTGGATATGAAAGCGCGCTTGCCGGTATTCGGTGGTGGCCATGTTCGACAGGTGCCGATGGTTATTGCGCTTGAGACGCGGCGACAGGTATTTGCCTACGGTTTCGTTGAGCAAATGGCCGACGGCGGATTTGTCATCGGCCTCGATCAGCACGCGTACGCGGTCCACGTAGTCGAGCATGGCTCGGTTGAGGTTGGGTGCCAGGGCCATCACCACCGAGCTTTTGATGGAGGGCGGGTTGTGCGCCAGGGTGAGCAGGGTGGAAATGCCGCCCCAGGAAGCCGACACCAGATGGTTGACCTCGAAACGCTCCACCAGCGCCCGCAGGATCTGCACCTCGTCGTCCTTGGTGACCAGGTCAAGGTCGCCGTTGTGTTCGCGTGAATAGCCGGAGAACGGCAGGTCGAACAGCAGCACATTGAAGTGTTCGGCCAGGCATTTGCTGGTACGCGCGAAAGACCGCGTGGTGGAGAGCGCCCCATTGACCAGCAGGACGGTGTTCTTGTGTGGATCGTTTCCCAGTCGCTCTACGTGGACGTTGTAGTGCTTGTACAGCCGTTCAATGACAAAACTTCCATGGTTCATGTCAACGCTCCAGCTTGTCCTTCCCCGGACAAGGTCATGCTTTGCGTGCGGGCACGCGGGTAGGGTGGCGGGATGCCACTAACCCTTATAACGAGGTTTTTTGCAGGCGACAACAGGCTGCCCGCGCGCACGGTGCGCAAGAGAAATGACCGTAGGAATGGGTAAAGCCGAGCTGTCTGAAACCAGCACAAGACAATGTGCGAGGGTGCTTGCCCCCGATAGCGATGTGTCAGTTAATGAGCACTTGGTTGAACACCGCTATCGGGAGCAAGCTCCTTCCCACAGGGAGAGTTTTTACAACGTCAGGGTCAGGCGTTTTATCAGCGCCCCCGGTAACAGATTGGAGGCTGTGTTGCGCTGACCGTAGGTACTGGGTGACAGCAGTAACTCCCGCTCGGCGGTCAGTGCTTCCAGCTGCGAACCGAGCAAGCTGTACACACTGTCATCAAAACGCATGGTGCTGACCGGCGCCTTGATCTCGCCGTCCTCCACCCAGAACGTGGCGAAGCGCGTCATGCCGGTCAGGCGCGCGGCCGGCAGGTCGGAGTAGTTCAGGTACCACAGGTTGCTGATATACAGCCCGGTGCCCAACTGCTTGAGGATGTCGGCTTGGGCCAGGTCGCCGGCCGCCATTTGCAGGGCGCTGGGGGATTCGTCGCCACTGGCGCCATTGGCGCTCAGGCCGTATTCGGCGGCGCTGCGCGAATTGACCAGTTGACCGCTCGCCTGGCCGGCGTCGATCAGCGTTACATCGCTGCGCGGGTAGCCTTCGCTGGAGAACGCCTGGCTCAGGGAGCCGCTGATCCGTTCCTGCACCGTCACCTGCTTATTGAGGTGTTGCTCGCCGGCATACAGACGTTGCAGCGAACTGCCTTTGCTGGCGATGGCCTGGGCGGAAAAACCGCCCCAGGTGATGATGCCGATGATTTCTTCAAGCGCTGCCGGTGCCAGGTAAGCGCGGTATTGACCCGGTGCCAGGGTGTGCAGCGGCCGGCCGAGGAAGTCGAGCTGGTCGCGAGCCTGCTGCAAGCGCCGTGCGAACTCGGCGCTGTCCCAGGTGTGCCCGGCGTAGCTGGCTTTGACCGCTTCGCCATTGGCATGGAACAGGCTGAAATCGAAATTGAAGCTATTGGCCTGGTGCCAGCCGAATGCGCCGTCGGAACTGGCAAAGCCACGGCTGATTGGGCCGGCGGCATAGAAGCCCACCAGGTCCAGCGCGTCTGCGGCCTGGCTGACTTCGGCCAACACCTGGGCCAGTTCCGGCAAGGGTTGGGCCTGTTCGTTGTGGCTGTGCCAGGCATCGTGGTTGAGCAACAGGTAGGGATCCGGTGGCAGCAGCGGCAAGGTTTCGCGCAACTGCTGCAGGCCTTCGGCCAAACGCTGGCGATCCAGTTCCGAATCGCCGGCCAGGGTGATGCTCAGGTCGGCGTGACGCCCGTCACTGATCAACTTGAGGTTCACGCTGGCCTGCTGCACCTGCCCGGCCTGGCGCACTTTGGCGTGGTTGAAACGCACGAACTCCGACGCTTCGGCGGCATAGCCCAGGTGAAACTGTTCCTTGTCGGTGATGGCTTGGGTGAGCCACTGCACCAATGCCTTGAAATCATTCATCAGGCATCTCCTCCGAAAACGTCGACGTTGCTGAACACGCAGGCCGGCGAGGCATGGCCGACACGGATCACCTGGTTGGGCTCGCCCTTGCCGCAGTTGGGCGTGCCCAGCACCTGGAAGGTACTGGCGTCGCCCACCGCGCTGAGGTTGCGCCAGAACTGCGCGGAAATCGCGCGGTAGTTGGGGTTCTTCACCACGCCTTTGAGTTCGCCGTTTTCGATCAACTGGCCCCATTCGCAGCCGAACTGGAACTTGTTGCGCGCGTCATCAATAGACCACGAGCGGTTGGTCGACATCAGGATGCCGCTTTCGATACCGCCGATCATTTGCGCCAGGCTCTGGTCGCCGGCCTCGATATTCAGGTTGGCCATGCGGTCGATCGGCGGGCGGTTCCAACTGCTGGCCCGGCTGTTGGCCACACCGTCCATGCCGGCGCGAAATTGCGACAACGCACCGCCCAACGGCTTGAGCAGCAAGCCTTCGCGGATCAGGAACTGCTTGCTGGCGGCGCTGCCATCGTCGTCATGGCTGTAGCTGGCGAGCTGTTCGGGGATGTTCGGGTCGAACGTTACGTTGAGCAGGCGGGAGCCGTATTGCAGGTGGCCGAAGTCGCTGGCCTTGACGAAACTGGTGCCGGCGTAATTGCGTTCATCGCCGAGGATGCGGTCCAGCTCCAGCGGATGGCCGATGGATTCGTGGATCTGCAGGATCATCTGGTCGGGCATCAGCAGCAGGTCGCGCGGACCCTGGGGCGTGTTGGGCGCCAGCAACAGTTGCAGGGCTTCGTCGGCCACCCGTGGTGCGGCGCCTACCAGGCCGAAGCGGCGGATCACGTCATAGCCGCCTTGCTGGCCGAAGTTGGTACCGCCCAGGGTGCGGGTCTGGCTGTCGGTGCTGTCGTAGGCGGTGACACTCACGCCGGGGAACACAAAACGTTGGGCCTGACGCAACTCGGCGCCAGCGCTGTTGAGGTAGATTTGCTCGACCTGGGTCAGGCCAAGGCTGACGTCCCAGCTGACCAGGCGCTCGTCTTTCGGCACGGCGGCAGACTCGTCGCCCAGCAATTGATAGCAGTCGCTCAAGGCAGGAAAGGGCTGGTTGAGTTCGGGCGACAGATAGTCGGCCACGTCGCTG